AACACACACAAATGCCAATCTTTCGCTCCACTGACACTTGGAGGTACTGTAATGTCATCTCGAGATCTCTGTGTGGTGCGCCGCGCGCTAAGTGGGCGGGGTGACCTGCTTTCGACGGACGCGCGCAACGGACGTTCTCCATTCAGAAGGTATATGGTAAGCTCAAGAGTTTGTATCAAATTACTCAGTGCACTTTACATCTTATATACATAGTTCACCTTTACTTTTTGCTTCCGAACTCCTATGAGAACAAAGATTTTCGTTCGTATATCATCGTTGAAAAATAATATCATCCATGCGTTGACATATGAGAAAAAACAGCTGACCAAAGGAAACACAATCCTCATAGTGAATATTGGACCATCCTGAGATTGCAGTTTCATTTGCAAGGGTCTTCAATTTGTAGTAATGTTTTCAAGTAAAGCATCCGAGGGTAGCTTTCGAGGTAAATTTGGGTGCAATGAAACATCTTAATTACAGTGGGAAGTGGGAAGGGTACTGTAGATTTCTACAAAAGATCTTACATTCGAACTAAGCGAAAATGTGAACTGCATGATGTTGTAGACCAGAAAGAGGGTGAATCCAATGAACAGTCCGAGCATTTGAACATAAAGGCGACGTTCTCGTTGTAAAGATCTGAAAAATGGGCATTAAATCAAATTTTCACGCTAAGGAAGCCAATTCAACTGACATGGAAGTACTGTAACGATTCTGCATGAGAAATTTGAATATGGCTCCATAGAATATACTGCACAAGACAAAAGTAAAGCTGACGAAGGCCACTGTCATAGAGGTAGCCAGCTAAACACATATCAATTATTCGGAAATCACAAATGGCCCATGCACAAACAGGATGATGACCGCGCAGCGCTGTGGCTTTATCCACTTTCTCTCTAGAGTGTTTGTAGATCTCAATACCTGTAAAGCAGCCGTTAATGTGCATTCAATGGTGGCAGAAATTATGTCCAAGTTCCCAGACACGCGCGCACGCACGCGCAAGAAATGCCTCTCAAGTATAAATCCGCATACCCCGGACAAAATGGTGTCAAAAGCCTACACTGATTGCCTCCTTTTCCACAATTACTTGGAGGTTATCTGGAGATAAAAAGCTGCCATGACTCAAGAAGTGAAGAGGAGAGGTATAGATTGCTGGAACAGCCCAGTGAAGGATCGGTAGCATCCATCGATGCGATACATTTATTAGCTGAAAATAGCAATTTTTTGCTTTGGAGAAGTCGTCACGATAAAAATCCAAGCTACCTGCTCAATGCGGCTGCCATTTCTGCACAAAGAAATATATCGCTGAAATGTTATAAGCAATACACCAAAGCATCGTATAATCACTGATATGTAGGTCTGATTAAAAGCCCATGTGGCTATGAAGTAGCTTTGATAATTCCAATAGAATTCTGCGAACAAATTCAATACGCGTAGCGACCAGAATAGAATGTAGTTTGTCATTACCACAAAATCCACAAAGCCCTTAATCGATTATCGATTGGACTGAAGGAATTCAGGCAAACTTGCTCACAGCGATTCTATGCCGAGGCTCATTCCATGTCGAAAATGGATCAGATCGAACGGTACTGTACCTGGGAGAGAATAAGTAAGTAAAATGTCCTTTGCATATGGTTATGCTTCCATTCTTTTATACAAACAATGATAATAGATATGTAGAGAGGAAGAGAAACGCCGTTAACTGATAGGAATATTATTTGCGACCATGCTGGGATCATGGTACTCTGTTCCTGAAATGGTATTTTTTTAGGCGTAGACCAAGATTTTTTATTTGGCTTAAGTGAAATAGTGGATGTAATGGTGGATGGCAAAATGGCGATGAAAACGCGAATGTCGGAACGATTTAAAAATATACAGGGCTTCGAAAAGTAGTAAGAAAAAGGTCGTACGAGTATGGTGGTGGGTGGGAGCCACCCAGAGAGTACGAGCTTGTAGCCGTCTGAGCCGTCCTCACAAGCGTACTATTCATCAAGAATGATCCAGCTTCAACAAAGTTGTCATAGTATGGCCACTTTTGAATGCGTACGTTGGTCAAATCGATTTTGGAGCCCTTGGAACGCCCTATCGAGGTCGTTTTTCGCCCCGATCATGTCCTACGTACTATTCTTACAGGCCACAGCTTCATTCTAGGGGAAAATCTCAGGAACGTTTTGGTCATGAACTGTACCTTGAAGCGCAACACCCAAAAATCCTTCATGTAGCAAATCTGACTAGGGACTTTTACAAAGGGAAATTCTTTCAAAATCCAAAAGGATATTCTTTTGAATAGATCACAGTATTCCATCACTTTTTCTCGGTTTTCCCAAGAAAAATAATATCTATTGAAGAAAATCACAAAAAAGGAAAAGGAAAGCTTGAAGATCGGTTCTCACATTTGGTGAATCTCCCATAAATCCTATTCCCCGTCTCTTCTGAACCACCAAACACTAGTTTCTTCTCTTACTGGATCGATGGGTGTGATGCTCAGGCAGAACTGAGAAAACGCGCTGAAAAGTTCTTTCAACTTATTCGAGTTCAGATTTCACTTTTTCAAGTTTTTGGTAACGAAATAGGAGCTCGAACGGTATATACCAAGCATGTTTCGCTTTTTGCAGCCAGCCATCTTACTAAAACTCTTTCGGAGGTGAAGGGAAATGACTGGAAAATCAAAACTAGGTGTTAGTTAGAGTGAAGCTTCAAAAACACCTCACCGTATGAAGGTTCAGCCACGCAAGTGACTAATTTTCGGAGGAGGTTTCATTGTTTACAATATGATTCTATGGTAATCCATGAGAAAATCTGTCTGAGAGAATCTGTTTCCTTTATTTATTGATACCTCTTCTGTCGAATGTGAGGAAATTGTTTTGCCAGCATGAATCGAGGAGTTCCCAGTAGTGATTCAGAAACAGGTGAAAATTCGGAAGGCCTTGTTTTCCGCACAAGGTGGGAAGCCTCCCTCACCTATTTACTTTCCCACTCGTAGTGAAAATCCGACACTCGGCCAGTATGAGTCAGATCTCATTACTGGCTTGTCTAGAGCAAGGGAATTTTTCAGACATGAACGACGAAATTGTTGTTATACCAATTTTCTGAGTCATGAGTCAGCCTGGTCAATGCAGGAAGAGCTTCTACTTCTCTTTCTTCTTCTTTTTCTTAGTTTCCTGGAAGTGGAATAACGCATCTTCTGCCGTTACTTGAGCTCCGACAAGAACCTTCCCGATCATTTCCCCCCGCCTTTTCCTTGAGCCGTCACGTGGTTGCTTCCCTTAGGTCGACAGCTTTTCTTTAGCTTCAAATTCCATTGTCTTTCTTATTGGACAATTCGGTGGACATCTCGGTACGTGTCTGTACCATCGCAGACCCTGCTCTCCCATCTTACTGGGTAGAGGCTGTTTGTATGATTTCCGTGACATCTTTGTTTCTGACTTTATTCGATCGTGCCCAACCGCAAGTATATTCAAGAAACTTCGTTACAGCACAATGAAGTTGTCTTTCGCGGTTTTTACTCATGGTCCAATACTTGCTGCAGCAGAGCGACGTGGGCGTCACCGCTGTCCTATACACGTTTCCTTGGTGCGTCCTGGATCACCGTCGGTCGCAGTAGTGGACTTCCTCCAATTCAACCATGCCACTTTTATTCTCCCTTATAATCTCGTCCGCACCACCATCAGGCATAGGTCACCCCCCAGGTATCGAGATTCCTGTATTGAGCGGTTGGGGAAGGGTGCATGGCTCAGACTCGAGAGGGAATAAGCAAAAACCCTGCGAGGGACAGTAAACGAATCGCGCACCCTTAAGTGCTCATGTCGTCATGTTCTTTCCAACACATTCAGTGAGGCCAAACAACTTACCTTTATGCCTTTTTTTAGGTATTGTAGTAAGGAAACGGTGGAATTGAACAAAAATGTGTTTGAGCTGCTTGGCAAAAAACAAGTCCAGTTTTTTCAGGGGCAGCTGCAAAAAAGCGCAGTCATTCAATCATGCAGGGTAACACAATCTTCCGCTTTTCACTACTAATCCCAGAAAACAAACACAGTCACTGTCATACCCATTTGGTCATTAATGAATACTTCTCGACCTGATCGAGCTGCATCCATCAAATCGTGCAATTGTGTGCACTGCTTGAAATGTGAACACTCACTTCTGTTTAACAAGCGTGAATTATGAAAAACTCACAGGGCTGTCCGGCAACTTTCCGCCGTTTTTGAACACCCTGAGTTTATCGATTGTTTTCCTAAAGATGAAGGACCCAATCTAATAAAGTTGTATCTGGAAGGGGAAGTTCGCTCCTATATATTTGCTGCTTTATCATGTACCACCTCATCGCGGTGATAGGGTGACACCATAGCAAATG